CGGCGATATGACGAATAGAGCCGCGGGTACCGAGTATTCCGGCGTGGTCGTTTGGTATCGAGCCAACACCCTCGCCATTCATTAAGATTGCTCATAGCGACGTTGAAATCTGACATATCGGATGTAATAATCGAACGAAAAATTAATCCTGGAACGGAGTGCGCGACGTTGTTGCTGGACTCGAAACTTGATACTTGTACGAAGATATCGTCTACATTCGCCGGCTTACGGCGAAGAAATACCTAGACGATGTTGTTACAGCTGCCACGGATATCACTGTTTCATCGCGGCAACGTAAAACAACCTAAGTAACGAACTAACATTTGAGAAGGAGTTTTTCATAATATTTCTATAACGTGTTTTTTTTACAACGATCAAGTTCTTCGCAAGTTTTTCTGATCGTAATTATCGTCGACGCGAAAGTGTACTTTCAAACTTTAGAAGAAAAAGAGAAAAATGATAATAACAAAAAAGTACCGTGAGCGTAAATACGATGAAGAGACAATAGTCGGAGACGATTTTTTGATGGACTGGTGTACGTAGACTTTACAGCAAAGTATATTAAATCGCGAAATTTAGTGAGCCCCTTATAATTGATCAGATTGCACTCATTTTTATCATACAGAATTTATATTAAAATATAAAAGAAATAATGAAATAATAAATATAATAATATAAATATAATAATAAGAAATAATGAAAATATAATAATAAGAAATAATGAATATAATAAAAATATAAAAGAAATATAAAGAAATAATAATATAAAAAATAATAATCCAAATTTGTCCTAAACAATATGTCATATTGAATATAATATGAAAATTTAAGTGGTTTTTTTAATTGGTTAATTTGCTGCTGCACCAATAGAATAAAAACAATTTTTAATTCAATACAGAGTATATTTATTTCATAAATGTAATCAAAAGAATTGTAAAGTTTTCATTATTGATTGTTTCACGTTGTGATAATAATGAAAGTCTATCTATTTATTATTAATTGTTGCCATCACCGAATTAATTTGATGTTAACGAAGAAACAGAGAAAGAGAGAGAAAACAGCATGAAAGAGGAGCAGAGAGTTCAATAATCTAGCGGCGCATATCTTGTTGCCGGCATTGAAGTCTCCAACGACGACGCGGCGCGACTTCTCGTCGCCGCCCGTGTATTTTCGCTCGTTCGCGTGGAAAGTAACGCTCGGAGAAAGAAGAACGCACGGACGCGTGTTACTACTACACTAAACCCGCTGTAATACGAAGAGAAATCTCGTCTGCGTATCTCACGCGTCTAATTTAAAAACGTGGCACGACGATGCGACTGTCGTAATGACTGTTGCTGTCAACCGTACGCGCGGGTGTGCGTGTGCTTTACGCTGTTATTTTAATTTTTATTTATTTCTCTTTTAAATAAACCGCACAAAGGAACGATCCTTTTCGGAGGGCATCTTCCAGGGGGAGCAGTAAACGTCGGAGCTTACGTTTCGCGGCGATAGTCGCGTCTTCGTTGCGATGATCGCGGAAGCAGATTTATGATAATCAAGCGGCATCGGCCGTCTCTCTCTTTCTCTCTCGTTACTTCGTTCCGTTCGCGTCTTCTCGCGGCGGCCCGACAGCTTTCTTAAAACGAATTTCGATTTCCCAATAAGAGGCCGAGATTTACGGCCTCCCGTTTCGCCCGGGCACCTTTTTTGCGCCTTGTCACGTCCCCCTCTCCCCGGCCCGTGCCTTTTTTTCGGGCCCCGCGAAGGAGGTGCGCGCTTTTTTACTGCCCCTTCGTACGTCCCACAAGGAGGACGGCCTGACAGCGTCCCTCTCCTGCGCGAAATGGATTCTCGCACGTATGCGAGCACAACGCTTGTTCGCTCGCTCACGCACGTATGCATGCACGTATTCACTCACTCACTCACTCACCGGCCGTAGCCTCGTAACCGGCTCGTAATGCACGCACGACTCCGAAGCGATCATCAAAGTCAGGTAGACGTGTCGAGTCTTCGTAAGTAGAGAATAGAGCGACCGGATTGTGTCAGCGACATCCGAAATATGATGCAACATCATTTCGTTCTCTTTTCAAGTCAAAGTCGAAGCCCGCAATCGATGCAGAAATCGTCTTGTCACGCAAAGTCAAGCGAAGGACGTGAGTTCAGTTTCACAGACGCGAGTTCACTGTCACGACCGAAGCGAGAGCGAAGAGACTGACACGCGTTCGATAATTAGAGGTGTGCGCAATCGAGATTTTTAGACGTGATTAAAGGTAATAAGTAGGAGAAGGAGCGACCCGATATTCACAAAGTTCGACGCGACGTTGAGGGCAGCAGTTGCCGTGTCGGGCGTTAATTGACGTCGTTAATTGAAGTCAGTTGAAGCCGGAGAGGGAAATTGGTCGGTTTCTTTCCGCGGTGCAAAAATGGAGACGTTACACTCGTTAAGCAGCCGGATTCGATGCGAAACACGAGTAGCACGAGCGAATGGAGCCGAGAGGACATACATCTCTCGTCCCGGGACAAGGGCAAAAAGTCTCTCGCGAATTACGCAGGCCGCTTCACACCAGACGAAAGAGATCGTCGGAATAACGAGCCACGTATAAGGCCCGTGTTTCCTTATGCAACGGAAAACAAAAAAAAAAGACGAGGAAAGAAAAGGAAAAGGGAGAGAAAGAAACGCTACGAGGTTGTGCTGCGGTGGTTAACCTTACCGCGTAGTTACGCAAGCAGGGACGAGAGTCCACAGCTAAGAAGTCGGTCACAATGCAGCAGTTATACACACGCACACGTGCATGCAGGCGGGCGCGCGCGCGCGCGCGACTTATTGCAGTTTTGTACACTCGCAGTCTTAGACGAGACGTGTTCGGTCGCCTCTTATCGATCAATTACCGCTGAAGAGCGCTGCTGCACGCCGCCGAAAGATATGTCGCATTAGGGAAGATACATTAGCAGTCACCCGTAGCAAGGCGATATCGTTCGCACAATCGAGATTCAAATGGCGCTGCCAAGCTTGCTTCGTAAGATTCCTAATAGAAGAGATTTCTCTACGGTCACGGAACTTGCGCGAGGACGCAGTGAAATTCCAAATATTCCCTCGACCAACGTCCAAACTGTTCGCGCGTATATAAAATCGTCATCATTGAGAAGCCGTCCCAACTGCGAGATCTCGGTCCGCGACTTGGAACTTTTTAGCCGACAACTTCGAAATTTTCGGCTCGCTCGGTTCAGAGATCTCAAACTTTTAGCTACGGAATTTTCGATATTTAAAAGTTTCGTCCCTTCTCCCTTTCTCTCTCTCTCTTTTCTTCTCCCGGTTACGGAATTGTTCCTTTTTCGTCAATCACGGAATCGCTCACCACTACACCGTAACAGCGAACTTTCTTCACGATTTGCATCGTGCGCTTCGCGGCGATGCAACAACACGTCCGCGCGCGCGACTGCAACGTCGGTCTACAATATTGCGCCTGCCATAATCCCGGCGCAGTTCTGACACGTCGCTTCCGCCTCTCTTTTTCTCCGCGATCGCCTGCAATTTGGACGTCACGAGGAAACGCCGGTCGGGATCGGCCAATTCGCCGGGCGCATTAAAGTCGTACGTACACACGGCCGCGCCGCTGCAATTTTGGCAGACGCGATACCACGCCCGGCGCGATAAAAGCACGCCGGAAGTGGAGAGAGGGCGAGACCCGAAGGAAGGGTGGCTGTTATTCGAAACGACGACGCCGGTTCCGCCGTGAGAAATCGATTCGCCGGCAAAACGCTCGGCCGCGAGCACTCGGGCGACTTTAAACGTCTTGGCACGCGCGCCAAACGCGATATAGTTCTCCTCGCTCGCGCCAGTCACTAACGACAATGGAAAAGACCGACACGTCGGACGAGAGAGGAATAGCGAAGAAAAGTGCGCGCTCTCAGAAGAGAAGAAAAAATTAACATTTGTCACGATCATGAATTTCACGGAGATTTTTAAAGGACGCCACTACGAACGGGCCAAGTCGATTCTATATCCGAACTCGTTCACAAATAACTGAGCTATTTTTTTATGGGAAAGCACATCCAGATAGACTCTCATGATTAACACGACGTAACACAGTCGAAACTTTACGACTCTTTTAACGACATTTATGAAGTAAATTATTTATTAAATTTGCGTCACTCAATAATGCACATTTTTGATTGTATTGATACGGCGACAAATTTATTAAAAGTTACTCATATTTTTATATTTAACATTGTTTCAGATAGATTTTGATCATTTTTTTTTTATTTCTACTTCGTCGTTCTATATAATAAATGAGTGCGATCTGATCAGTCATAAGGGATATAACGTTGTTGAATTTCGTGATTTAATATATTTAATAACGATGTAAAATTTACGTATAACGGTCTGCCGGGACTAAGATCGGGGGAATCCATATTCTCATTGCATATTTAGTCTTAAGAGAGATACTTATTGGATTCTGACACCACATTTAGATTCCATATTTAGATTTATCGCGGATCAGATAGGGGTATTTCGGAGCTAAATTCGCGTAGTCTTTAATGTCTTTTGTTTTAATCTTTAATCTGTTTGATCTAATTTCAATCTGGAGAAGATATTGAACGGAAACCCAATTCGCAGAAATATATAATCTATTTTACAAAATTTCTGTCCACGAGAAATTTCGTAAAAAAAATATAGGTTCCTGCAAAGTAGGGTTATTTCCAGAAAAGAAAATTGCCGCGGAATAGAAGATTTCACTCGTCGTCATTCGTTTCGCCGATTTGTCGTTCCGTCGCGATCGACGAATCGATCACGTAATTCGCAGCACGCATTCCTCACTTTTCTCAACCGACCGTCGCTTCGCACTGAACGCACGAACATACGCGAATTCCCGTGAAATTTTCACTTCCCGCCGGTGTTTTCTTCTTTCACACTCCCCCAACGTCGCACTCGCGAATTACGTGATCGACCCGGATTGCGATGCGATAACGACGAGTCTCGCGGCGAGACTGCGGCAAATCACACTTGGACGCGCACTTACATGGAATTGGTGGTGTTCCAATACATGGTGATCGTCTTCGCACAGTTGCTCACAGTCGACAGTAGTACCGTTTGCAGGCACACGAGGAACACCAGAGTCACGAAAGACGTGGAAACCATGGTAACAATGTGGACGACGATCAGCACCGTCACCACCACGGGCACCTGGATTCGACGACCGACACGAACGGCACCCGCACTTTCGCACACGCCGACCTCGCTGCAGTCGTCCACAACCACCTACTTCTTCCACCACCGTCGCACCTCCACCACATCCACACTCCACTTTGACCGTGTGTTCGGTAAGTCACGGATCCTGCGACACTTCTTCTCGTATCCTCCTGATCGACCTTATCGGGCGACCTTCTGTCACTCACACTGTCATCGCGGAGCCTCACAGTGAGATGATGCTCTGGGCGATGATTCCCGACGATCCTCGCGACGCTTCTCACGACTCGCTGTGCCCGCCGTCGGGATCCGAGTCGACTGCCCGAGAAGATTTGGCGCGCGCTTCACCGAAACTTCCGTTCGCAAGCTCAGTCTATCGGCCAAGTATCGACTTCGCGTACTTCGAAGTCGTAATTCGATCAAATTTGAGTCGCCTCTGTCGGCGCGTCGTTCTCGATGATGTCCGAGGTGGCGTCGGTCCCATGGATCCAGCTCGTGTTTATCTCGCCTGCAGCACAGCTCACCAAGCTGCTCATTGGTTCCCGTTTTTTCCGGAATTTTATCGGAAACAATGGCGACGCTGCGAACGCAACGCGTTGTCAATCAGGAGCACGACGGCACCGTCGGAGCGAGCGCGGCAGCTATCCGTCGCTCGGCGTCGATCACTTGAATCAGCGAATGCGCACGACAGCACGTCGCATCCCGTGGCGAAAGTTCCCGAGGGAGGAGGTCAAGAACGCGCGGATCGCGCGTGAAATGCGCGTATGTTGTGTCGACACTGAACTCTCACGAATTCGCAAAATCAACACATTCCAAGCGCACCGTGCCGTACCTCCATATTCCCGTCGCGAGATGTGAGACGATAATCGATACTCGGATTCGATCGTAATCCAATTATTGGAAGTAACACGTCAAATCTCACTGTTGGACACACTGGGAGATCTCACGGTGTTATGACGGTATTATTATCCTTTCCGGCGACGGACACTTGCAGGCTCCTCTCGCATACTGTAACAGCAGCGTCGCGTCGTTTTGGTAACAAGTCACACTCCGTAGACTCTCACCGTATTCCGAGAACGATTAAAAGCTGTGGGAAACGCACCAATGATCGGATTGACGCGATAGATGAACGCGCGCGCGGCTGCACACTGTATCAATATCTCGCGCGGCGACGTTCAAGTTGGTTAGTTGGAGTTGCGCGAGTTGCCGAGGGAGACTCGACGGGACTCCGGTTCGTGACGAATTGCCCGAGCGCCACCTCACTACTCCGTGTCGCGGACGCGTCTGTCGACCGAGGAAGCCGTCGCGGCCGTTCGTCTCGCGTCGGCAGACTCGACTGGCGGCTGAGGAGGGGAGAGCCGAGCGCCGGCGGAATCGCACGAAATTGCCGCTCGGTCGTGTCTCGGCAGCAGCGAGTCCGGTCGGACGGTATTACGCCGCTTGCTCTCGAGATGTGAGTTTGGAGCGGCTCCTCGTATCTCTTAATGTTAGCGCATGCTGCTCGTCGACGTCGTAGCCGAGATTAGGAGACTGTAGCAGCTTTTCTAAGTATGCTTTTTTCTCACATGGCTATTCGCTTATATTCGAATATGCGCCGCTCAAATGGAGGAGCACACGAATTTATACACCGATACACGACGCGTTCCGCTTTAAGTTCTAAAATGTACGACTGCAAGGTCGAACGGCGGATACGTGGCGTCCGTTCTGGAAGTAAGACGCGTTAAAGCTCCGAAAGCTCATGCTGCTCCCGCGAGTTTAAAAGCGAGTGAAGCATTTTAAGCACGGGTATGTTTTCTCTTATCTACTTTCGTACGGAAGGGTTCCGATTCATTGCGTTACGGTGCAATTGGACATAACCAACTGATGCAAAGATTTATCTGGTAAATTATTAGGTTCAACCAATTATACTCTGTGTCCAATCGGGTCCTACTCTTTTCGTATGACAAAGTGCCGTCGTTTCCACGCTCGCGACGCGACGTGGCGCTAATTGTCGACATACGTGATCAATGCGCGGCTATCTTCAGCCTTTTTGTGCTGAGTAGCTGCCGTTGTCACATCGATTGACATCTCTCCGTGTTTCACACGTCTTTTGTCTATCGATAGTAAGAGTCTCGTGTAGAAATAAGTATCGGGAGTGCCGAAACAGCGATGTGCGATCGTCGGGAAGTATCGTAAGTATGTTATTATGGAGCAATCTCCTTTCTCGATATACGTAACCGGTGCTCGTGTCGAGACGACGTCTCTCACACTTGTTATTACACTATAACTTCGCTCAAGTGGCAATATAATCGAACGACTGTCGTAATTATTACTCAGGAATTCGAAATTCGATGATAATTAGAGGGAAAGAAGAAGAGACAGCGCGCTAAGGACATTCCTGACGTGGGAGATAGCGTCAGTCTGTTAACAAGACAGAGAGGGTGTACATATCGCGTCCTTGTCGCACCGCGACTACGTTCACGTCGTTGCCCGAATTTTCGGTGAACGACTGCTCGGCCATTTTGGATATCGACTTTTTTGCGTCGGCAGCCGCCATGAACACGTCGATCGACATTGCTCCGCGTTTTACGTATCCCTTATCTGCCAAAAGTGATTCTCATACGGAAATAAATATCGGGAGTACCGAAATAGAGCGCTGTGTGATCGTCGGGACTATCACAAGTTTCTCAGTATTACGTTTCTCAGTGTATACAGCCGGTGCTTGTCGCGACGTGTCAAGTCGGCGTCTCTTACACTTGTAAGTACCATCCATTCACTCAAGTAGCAATAGAATCGGACAATTGTCGGATTTATTAGTCGGGAATTAGAAATGCAGTGGTAATTAGAAAAAATAGATAGATATCTCAGAGAGATGACATTAGAGAGACACACGCAATGCTCGGTTTTGTTATTCCGTTCAGATACAACGGTTGATACAAAGCACACGAAACAAATCATCTCGACGTCGTGCGTCATTTCGACTCCGGCGATGTTTTGCGAGCTCAAACGTCTCTCTGTCGACAAGCTCCCGGGAGCGTGGTAAGCGCAGTTTGACACTCATTAAGAAAAGCAACCACCGTGATGAATTCGCCCCGGCGGTCGGTGGCCGCGTAACTCACCAGGAATTTAATTTCGGTAGTGCGAAGCGCGCGCGCGCGAGAGAGAGAATACCGTTCTCGAGCGAGTTTGGGCGCACTGATTACACCGACGTCCCTTAAGCCTCATTACCACCGTCCAAAATTTCCGAGCCGCGGCACAACCGAGGCGAGAGACACGGCCGCGACGAGAGCATCGTCGCTTCGACTCTCGTGAGCTATGAATTAACGCGCGTGTCGCGACGCGACGTTCCGTTTTCTTTCCCCGAGCTGCGGGCTTTTAAGAGCGAGAGTGCTTCCTTGACTTACGATCGGCGCTAGCTCGCGTTTCCTGTTACAATCTCGGAACATGTCGTGCGCCTCTCCTTCTAATTCTGGCGCGCCCTTGTGTTCCGCTACTGGAGAGAGAAAGATTCGGAATGGTATCCTAGGGAGCCTCCCCCGCGGCCGTACGTGCTCGCCTAAACGTGGAATTATTAGGAAGGTAGAGATCTCCAACAAATTCTCCAAGCCGGCTCTTCCCCGAAACGTACGTTTAAACTCGCGTCTAATCCCGATAGTTTAGCACGCTCGCGTGAGTCGTCTCACCTGCTCATTGAGAAAGAAGTTTGAGATAAATTTGGAAAACTCAGCTGAACGTCTCACATCAATTTATACCCCTCGTTCAGTCCTCAAATTGAGAACCGATTTTGCAGTTACATATTCGAGATCGCTCTTTGCATTAACTTGAAAATCCTTACCGCAGACACGTAAGACTTGACTTGAAAAATTTAAAGATCAGATACGTAACGAAAAAGCTATATTCCCGATCTAATTCCAATCAGCGAAACGTCTCCCCTCGAAAGACGAATAATTTTCACGGGAGAAGAGAGAGAGAGAGAAACGAGAATCGTTAAATTCATCGCGTTTCAATAGGCGCCTCACGACACTCTCGCGAGCGCATACGAGCCGTTCGTTTCTGCAGATGCACTCGAGTACGTGGCGCCCTCATCGCGGAGAGGCGATCATCGTCCTCCGTATTGCTCTCTCATGTGCAACGATCTCCGGGGCATGCTCCTTCGGAGATCTCGAAGAACCGGTATCTACCTACGGACAGTCATGTCGGTCATTAGTCGGACTAATGTAACGCTTCAAATTCTATCGGGGCCCATGGCGCCGAGACGTTGCGTCCTCCCACTAAGGCGTCGAATCGTTAATATACGATGGGAACGAGGCTGTACCTGTTTTGCATTTTACGCGTTACGCTCTCCCCCTCTTCCTTCTCTCCTCCTCCTCCTCCTTCTACTGCTCCTCTCCCCCGTCCCACCCGTTTTTTTAATTAACGCGAGCTTCACCGAAAGCCGAGATAAGGGATGGACCTCGTTAAGTCGAAATCGACAGCGTTACTCGGATTAATGTTCGTCGTCGCGGATGACGGCGATTTAACAGCAGCGAGAGAGAGAGAGAGAGAGAGAGAGAGAGAGAGAGAGAGAGAGAGAGAGAGAGAGAGAGAGAGAGAGAGAGAG